CCCGAGCCGGGCGGCAGGTACGGCACAGCCGAGCTGCGTGGGCACACATCGCCTCACTCGCGACGGATCAGCCTGCTGAAAACTGACCTTTTTCTTCATCTCTAAACGCGAATTCTGCCTATACACCTTGCATTCTGTCTTCTTTTTTTCCTTTTCTTTTCTTTTTTTTTTCAGGGCAAACCTTCTTGTGTCTTAAGCTACACGTGCGTGCGCCAACATTTCTTCATGTTTTCTCAGCTCCCCGTGGGCAAAACTCAATTATGGGATGCATGTAGAATTATATAGAACATACCTGGATGGGATCCTAGATTCATCTGGTCTGTTACTCTGTCCAAAGGCAAAATCAACTTGCTGCTGTGCTTCTTGATGGAATTTGTGCAATTTGATTTTTTTCTCTCTGTTTTCACTTGAATAAGAGCAAAAAAGATTTTTAATGCCTTGGAAAAAAACCAAACAAGTACTGCTTTCACCTCTACTTTTAAAAGACTTGTGAAGACTTTTTTTAATTGAGTTTTTAATTTCAACTGGAATGGAATTATAAAAGTGAACTTGCTAGTAGCCAGGAGAGGTGTGTCAGGTTCCCAATACAGCTCTCAGGGAGCAAATTCAAACTGAACACCTCATATTTTGCTATTTAATGCACTGTCAAGCCAGGATGTCTCTTTTATAGAAATACTTTACTTTTGGGTTGCTTGTTTTTCATAAACCAGCTGCAAATCCAACCTTGATGGTATAAGCTAAGTACATGGTATTGTCAGTGCCAGGTGAGGGTATCAGGACAGGGAGGGTACATTTTGATTGCCTCTGTCACTGTCTTAATTGTTTTTTGTCTTCCTAGAAGTGATGCTTGTCTCTGTTCTGAGCTATGGCTTTTCTATTTATGTCTAGATTTATGGGTTAATGAGGAATTTTGGAAGATAGAAATGTGTGTGTAAAGCTTCATTTTTACATGTAAAGTTACTTCATAAGTAATTCAATTTTTTACTCTGTTCTAAACCCCTTAAAAAGCAGCAACTTCTAAAGAAGCCTTTATACAGCATCATTTGTGTCTTTTACCTGTTGGTCTTTATTTCTTCCTTTGTAGTTTGGATTGTGAAATACAAATAAGAAATAACTCCTAATTAGCAATCTATATTGTTACTATCCTAAAAAATATTAGGATCTGTTCACTGTGTGATCTACCCAGTTGTTTTGCCATTTTATTTCTTTATCTTATAAAGAAATGGAATTCAGGCTTTATAAAAATAAACAGATACATTTATATATCATTGCTACATCTTTGTGTTAGCTGTTCCATGCAAACTACAGCCCTTTGTTTCAAGGATAAACATTTTGTGGGCTCAAATGTGGACCTATCTGTTAATGTATAGGAAAGTTCAGTTACTTATTACTTGTCAAAGTTAGTATTTTAGAATTTCTAGTGTGTTGCTCACTATAATTTTAAGCTTCTCCCTAAATTATCAACCAGCATTGTCTGGTGAGGGTAGTTTGCCATGAGAGCGCCCAGTGCCCTCTGGTGAGAGCTCTGGTGCTGTGTAGGAGATGACTGAAACATTTTCCTTCCTTCTTGACAGACACTGCCTGCAAGAACCGTCCTCTAGACCTTGTGTTCATCGTAGACAGTTCCCGTAGTGTCCGACCTGAAGAGTTTGAGAAAGTGAAAATCTTTTTGTCAGAAATGATTGATACTCTGGATGTTGGTGAGAGAACAACGCGTGTGGCAGTTATGAATTACGCAAGCACTGTCAAGGTGGAGTTTCCCCTCCGGACCTACTTTGATAAAGCCTCTCTGAAGGAGGCTGTATCTCGCATTGAGCCTCTGTCTGCTGGCACGATGACTGGCCTTGCCATCCAAACTGCCATGGATGAAGTCTTCACAGAGGAAATGGGCACCCGGCCAGCAACTTTCAATATCCCCAAGGTGGTCGTTGTCGTGACGGATGGGCGGCCACAAGACCAGGTTCAAGATGTGGCAGCAAGGGCCCGGACAGCTGGCATTGAGATCTATGCAGTTGGGGTAGACCGGGCAGACATGCAGTCCCTGAGGACAATGGCCAGTGAACCACTGGATGAACATGTCTTCTATGTGGAGACCTACGGTGTGATCGAAAAGCTGACATTCAAATTCAGAGAGACTTTCTGTGGTAAGGGGGTCAGTCCAAGAGTGTAGTGTAATTTGGCTCCTTTTGCTGTCTACTGTGGTTCCACTCCCTAAGAAAGGAGTTTTTCAGAAATGTTATGTATCATACCTGAATATTTCCTTTGCCATCCACTGGGTAAACAAGCCAACCCTTTTATTCAGTGGAGGCCAAGTAATGACCTTTCATTTTGAGTAGTGACCTTACTGTGCAGGGAACAGACCTGACTTCAGTGGACCTCCTTGTGGAGTTGGTTGGATTTAGTGCAAGAGAAATCACAGCAATCTGGCTGGGATTTGACTGCATATATTTACTGACAGCACACACCAGAGCTGTGCAGTCTGCTCATTTCCTTTCCCATCTCACTGGGAAGCACAGAGGGTGGGAGTGTGGTGCTGAAGGGCTCCTTATAGGTTCAGAGTAGGAAAAGCAGCATGGTAGCTGAACCACCCTGCTAGCTTGAGAAATCTGATGCAGGATGAAGTGCCCAAACACAACAGGTCATTTTGGGATGGGTTTTTGGTCTGCAGGCACTGCTGGGCTTTTTCAGTGTGCCAGGCTCACATCTCTATGTTTCTCTGCAACTTGATTTAGACATGGAACTATGGAATGGGTTGAATTAGTTTCACTCTTTCAGGGCTAGTCTTGGAAAAATGCTGGATGCATTTGGTTTAGGCTAGGACTCCACCAATGATGCTAGGCCAGTGTGGGCTGTTACTGTGATTTACAGGAAGAAATGTCATCTGGAGTATTTAGAACTGCCTATAGATAGCTGTGACACAGCCCTACTCACAAAAATCAAGTGACGAATTTTTGACAATTAAAAAATGTGTACAAAGTAGATTTTTCTAGTAAATTTCCTTAAATTTCCTTTAAAATAAGTCTCGTAATGGCTAAAAGCAGGTACAAAGAGCATTATAAGAGAATGAAAATAACAGCCACTGCCTTGGGAACTTGGTTGGCAATGTGTTGTTATTTCAGAGCCTTACTAAAAATCATCACCACACCTTTTGAGAACGTTTGGAGTGAATAGACCTCTTTCTCTAGGTATGAAATAAATGCGTAAGACCATCTGCAGAGGGGACACTTTGCCCAATAGTTAGCATAGGAAATACCTTGAGGTTTGGCTTGACACCATATGTGAGCACACATTGTGCTGCTGATGTGACCGGATCCTCTCTCTGGTAGCTGGAAGTGGATGTGCTGCTGATGTGACCAGATCCTCTCTCTGGTAGCTGGAAGTGGACACAAGTGCCCACCTAGCTGGACAGTTATGTGTGCTGTGAACATAGCACTAATTTTCCACCTAAGTTCTCGCCAAGTCCTTTCATAGCACCAAATAAAAATATCTTGTTCTCAAGAGTAAACTTACTGTTTATTGTGCTGAAGCATAGAAATTATGCCCCTGAAAAGCTGGAGGATAAATGAGAGAGCTCACATATGTACACTTCCAACTCTGAGTTGCCTGTGTGCAATTAGCCAAAATGTGTGGGATTCATGAACAAAACCAGGGCAAATGAAATAGAAGGATTTGATTTGTATGAACCTCTTAAAAAACTAAGAGGGTCTTGTAAGACAGTGTGGTAAGCTGGGTCCTTTTCCAGTTTCACACTGCTTTTTGGTCAGAAATTTGGACTCGGTGACAATCAGGATTTTCTTTGCTTTGACCAAGGCAAATAAGTTTGTTTGTAGGGTGAACTGAAAACAGGAAAACTAATGTTCAGGGGCAAAATAGTTGGCTAAGATCAAGTTCTTGATGCATGGAGAGCATTATTCAACCTGAGACCATCCCAGAGATGGAAAATCTTAGCCTTCAAATGCTGTCCAAGTCAGTGGAGGTTTGACTTTCCTACCACAAAAATCTGACCAGTTGAGTCTGAGCTTCTCACTTATGCTTGAAAATATCACCCATGGGTTTTTGTTCATAAATCATGGACATGAATTCTCTTATTCCCAAGGGTGTAGCGCAATGAAAAGATTGTCTTGGTTTGAAATTTGTTTTTACCAATGGAAAGACAAGGCACTCTATCAGCCTTATTAGGAGACTTCTAAATCTTCCATGGTATAGAAAATGGGAAATAGATGAGTAGGTTCAAGCACTCTTGCTTCTGTCTCACCACTATTGCTTTGGAGCTTGGTTTTAGCAGTAGTCCATTCCCACTAGTAATCTAAGTAAAATCTCAGGTAAAAACAGATTTGTATTTCCATTTTTCTCCCTTTTGTTTCTTCCTTCTTTCTTCCTTTCTGTCCCTCCTTTTTTTTCCTCTTCCCACTTTTCTCCTCCACCTTTTTATTCTCACTCCTTCCCTCCCCCCTTCGTTCCCCTTTCCCCTTGCCAAAGTTAGTAATCTGAAAAGCATCTAAGTTTGAGTGTCTTGGATTCCTTTACAGTCCATGAAAAGAAACAGGGGCATCTTGAGGTGACCAAAGCAGAAGCAGATTGAAAGCTAAATACACTTGAGAAAAATCGGTCAGAAGTTAATTAGTGACGTAGTTAGACCTTCTGTGAAGGAAAAGACTGTCAGCACATACAGTGCATTGCAGAGACAGCCCAGCATTGCACATTTTGTGTGCCCTGTCACCACAACACACTTCTGTCACTTGCATATCAATCATGCTGCTTTCGTATCACTGTTTTCTCTGTCCTCAGTCTGATGAGACAGCCTTACTGTTTGCTGGGGAATTAGTTGAAAACTGAATCTCGTTTTGTAGTTTGCAGTTTGAGCTTCTTGGTTCTTGGAGATTCCAACATCATTTCTGTACTCTCCTTCAATTAGAAGGTTCACGTGCCTGTAAAGCTGCCTTACTACAGAGGCTTTCCTGCACATCCTCCTTTGGTCTTGACTTTTTAAATCTGATGGGTCAAGGCAGCTGCAGCCCTCACATACCCCATCTAGCACTGATGGGTTTTCTTGCTGGTTGATACCTCTGGACCATCATTCAGACACTCTTTTTGTCCCTGAGAAGACAGTGTTATCCTAGTGCCCCTGAGTAATTTTTCTGGTCCTCTGGGTTTGATGCTCTTTCTATTTTGTTTTATTTTACTTCATTTTATTTTATTTTACTTTATTTTACTTTATTTTACTTTACTTTA